TCATATCGTATGTATTATATTTGGTGTCCGACGTCCATAAACTTTTCACTTTTTGAACTTCTACTTGAGAACCACTTAAAAGGATCAATATATTAAACTGTTATTTTTCTCTACTGTTGAAGCATATGATAAAAAATGCATAATATGTCATTTTTCATATCATATGTATTATCAGACCTCGGTCAATATCAGCCTTCGAGCCATCGTCTCTTGGGCTGATATTGAACCTTGGGCTGATAATACATCTGATATGAAAAAATCCCATGTTATAATCTGATAATATATAAATATATATATATATATATAATTGTCAAGAAAATATCCAGTGGCGTAGCTAGGGCTGAAATGTTGTGGATGCCAAAACTATCGCCGAGCGCAGCGAAAAAAGTTCGACGAGCGGAGCGAGTTGTATTTTTTTTAACCATATTATGCAGAACTTGAAATGAAACTTTTTCGGACATTTTCCCTGTATGCATGCGTACTCCCCCAGAATCCGACACTGGTTAGATTTATTTCAATAAACAAGCGCCCTGAAAATGTTGAATAGGGTTCAATGATATAATCAATTTACATAAATTAATAATTCAGATTATTTACAACAAAAAGTTCAGTTTGCTTCCCTTAAGAGATGCAAATTTTGAAATCACGTTTTGTCTATCGATCGCCAAATCTCTATAGATGTGTAGCATAGCAAGCGCCGAGAGACGGTCTGTTCTCATCGTGGTTCTTAAGTAGGACAGATATAATAACAGAAATGTTCGGATAGAGATTTTTGTTTGTGTTGTAACGTGTTTCGTGGAGTGTCTTGGTTTCGTTTCTAACATGGTCCTGCTCCATCTGGTTTTCCAATGAGGAATTTCTTCTTTGAGTTGCCAGGAGTGCCAATATCGTCGTCGTAAGCATTGGATATCTTTTCAATGTGATCTGATGTCAATTCAATATTTTAAAATGCAAACCAAAAAGAAGAGTGGAAATTGTAAGCAAAGCTCAATACATGATACTCGCATTCCCCTAAGCCCGCCGGGCCCCAAGTCAGCACGGGGGTACTTCTATATATTTGGTATACCTGAGGCTGTGTAGTTGGGAATTTCAAAATACCCACCAATTTATATATTACCAACAGAATTTTATTGTTTTCTCGAAACTACCATCATTCAATTCATAAATATTTAATGTAAAAGTTTCCCACCCAATCTTATAATTGACAGCTCAAAAAACGGACCCATTTACAGCGGTACTTCTGTATATAGAACTTCGGAATATAGGAACCAAAGTGACCCCCCCCCCCCCCCCCCCCCTTTCCCGGAATTTGAGCCTCCCTATGGGGTTTTTGATTTTTTATTACTTGGCCTTTTTAGTGATTACGTGATATTGCCAAAACATTTGTGATTATGAAACTACTTGGACCTCCCCCTTGAGGGCCTCAAATTTTATGTCACGAAGCGACGACATTGTGTGTGTGCAATGTTACAAAATGTATATTCTGTTAAAATATAAGATGTATATTTCATTTTGATTATCCTCATATCCTCACCCTTGTTACATTCGAAGACCTCCAAGTTTATCTGCTGCAAACACATGCAAATAAAAAATTATATTTGAAAATTTTATTTTTTTTTTTTGGTTAGCATCTGAGCATACATGCAAGCTACACCACTGATATTTCTTACACATTTTGAGTTTTCCCACAAAAATGAAACCAGTTTAAAATCTGTTTTCTCACTCATTCCTTAAAGAGGATCATTTTTACAATCCCCTCCTTCCAAAAAAAAAATGTTATAGGGCTATATTTGATAGATGTTCATAGTTTAAGTTATACTTAACTACTTTAAAATTGCTGTGTAAGCTTAATAGCCATGATCAGCCATAACAGCTAATTGTTTGTCTGCAAATTTCTTTTGTTATATAAACTTTAGTGTTGGATACATTTGACCACTCAGTCTAGACTAGGGATAATCAATCCATACAAGTATAACAAAAGTTTGTCAATACATCTGAATAACCAGTGACAAGGTATTAGTCATTTAATTACTGTGTGACCCTTGACCCATGAAAAGTGTCTTTTTCTAAGCATGTTGCAAATATTCTTTCTTTGGTTTAAAAATATTTTGCCAAGCACTATTCAATATACAACAGAAACATCTGAAACTTGAAATTCAAAGATTAAACTATCATGTTAATTATGTGTCATTAAGTGTATTTAAAATTTTCAGAAAAAAACCTTTTCAAAATCAAGGGCAGATAATAATTGAATTTGATAGGACAATATGTATTTTTTGGATTTTTCAAAAAAATAAAGCCTGTGACCACCTATTTTTATTTGATATTTTGGAACTATTTATGCAAAGCAATTCTGTAATTGCATTTTAACCAATTCTATCATTTAATGTTTCCCTATTAAGGAAAAATGAAGTTTCCCCTATATATAAAAATAAGAAGATGTGGCATGATTGCCAATGAGACAACTCTCCACAAGAGACCAAATGACACAGAAATTAAGAACTATAGGTCACTGTATGGCCTTCCACAATGAGTAAAACCCATACTGCATAGTCAGCTATAAAAGGCTGATATGACAAATGTAAAACAATTCAAACGAGAAAACTAATTACCCATATAAAATAACTGTGATTTCACTAATTTCAATGTATTTTAACCAAAAAACAAGGTCCATAACCTCCAGTTTTTTATATTAAAATTTGAAAGTACATTGACCCAGAAGTCTTTTTCAGAAGTTTAAGAAAAATCTATTGTTGAACATTAAGACAACTCATCTATCTTAAACAGCAAACAAGACACTGTCAAAACGATAGCAAACCTTTCCTTACATTTCTTAGTGTCATTGTTTAAGCAATCAAGGGTCATAACTCCTGAACAGCACAAGTTAAAATTGTCAAAATCATACTTGACCTTCAATTTTTCATCCAAAACAAATTGAGTTTAAAAGAATTAATTTAACAGTTCTCAAGTTATCAAACAGAAATGAAATAAAGCAGAGTTTTTCAATAAATCAAGTACATAACACCTGAACTGCTCAAGTGAAAATGGTCGAAATCAAAATTTTATTTGAAGGATTGGTTCATTGGTACTCAAGATATCCAATAAAACCAACACAAAACAATCAATAAAGGTCTGCAAATGTGAAAATTGTCAAAATAAATCTTTTCTTTTGGTTTGCGATGAGAAGAAACATATCAAAATTGGAAATGGATTGGTTGAGTGGTTCTCAATTTATTAAACATATAGGGTTTGAAGCTGCTCATTAGCCTGCCCTTGTCACAATAAGTTCCTATTCACAACTTGGAGGCAAATTAATGGGTCACAACTCTCTGCAGCTTTTAACGATATGTGAAACACAAGATAAACTGTTGACACAGAGATATGTCTTGCCTGTATGAAATTTCTATAGTTCAATGTAAATGTTGAAATTTAAATGTGTACTTTAACATTTAAACTTCACAAACTTTCAAAATCAATGGACAAATACATGTGCATAACAAATATCCCATTGTGTACTTTAACATGTAAACTTCACAAAATTTTCAAAATCAATGGACAAATACATGTGAATAACAAATTTCCCAGACTTACCTTTGGTGGAACTCCTTAAACTGACGTAGTCACAATATTTTTTAAATGCAAACTATGAGTTCTAAAGTCTATGAACCATGACTGAGGGGGCAGGGACAACTAATCCCCATGGAAACAAGATGTGCCAATGCTAATACAACTGCTTAACTACAACGAGTGCTTCCCCTTAAACTGACCTTATCACAAACTTTTTAAAACATGTAAACTATGCTAATATTTTAAAGGCAATAGACACAGGCACTTGTCTCTGAAAAAAAAATTCCTATATACCTTAATATTAAGATATATAGGGAATTTTTTCAGAGACATGTGCCTGTGGCAATAGACTATGACTAAGGGACCAAATAAGTGCCCATGCTAATACAACTGCATACCAAAAAACATTGACTAAACATAAGTGGTTCTCCTTTAACCAACCTAACTTTAACAATTGTTGAAGCTACCAAAACTGCTACCTGAGTCTTGCTTCTTCAATCAAGGTCTACACAAACTAGAGCTGTCCGCATAGCGAGACTAATGTATTACTATCATAGTAGTCAAAGGTCAAATTCAAGGTCAGAGTGACCTGACTTTGATATATGACACACCCTTATCCCATGATGCATCAGTATACAAAGTTTGGTCAACCTAAGCTCTATGGTATAAAATTATGCCCAGGACACAAATCAGACAAGGTTTTACTATCATAGGTGTCAAAGGTCAGAGTGGTCTGACTTTGGTTTATGACACACCCTCACCTCAGCCCATGATACAACTGCATACCAAGTTTGGTTAACCTAAGTTTTACGTTTCAAAAGATATGCGCCAGACACGAATTGGACAAGGTTTTATTATCATAGGGGTCAAAGGTCAGAGTGACCTGACTTTGGTATATGACACACCCCAGCCCAAGATACAACTGCATACCAAGTTTGGTTAACTGAAGTTTTCCAGGTCAAAAGACATGTCCTGGACACGGTTTTGCTATCATAGGGTTCAAAGTTGATTGTCAGAGTGTTCATGACACACTCCCAGCCCATGATGCAACTGAGTTTAACAGTTCAAAAGATATGAGGCGGACAAGATTTTAGACAAGGTTTTACTATAATAGGGGTCAAAGGTCAAAGTCAAGGTCCAAAGTTACATGACTTTGATAAAGGACACACCCACAGTCCATGATGCAACTGCATTTCATATTTGATAAACCTTAGTTGTACAGTTCAAAAGTTATGGGTCGAACACTAAGCAGAACGGAAGGACAAACGGACATTGTGATTCCTATATACCCCCCTAAACTTCATTTGCAGGGGGTATAAAAACAACATGACTGTGACTTCTGTTGGAAGTTTTGTTAAGTTTTCCCAGTGACATAACAGTTTTAATAAGCTCAATCCAACACATCTGTTCAGACCTTAATAACAACATACACAGAAATAAACAAATTTATTTTTCTAGTAAAAAAAAATGTCATTGCAGAATATAGAAAATACATGTACCAGTTTATAAAAAAAAAACTAATGTTCCAAGAAATCCTCTTGTACAAATTCATGATACCATCAACAAGTACTACATGTACTATAATTGTCAATGTATAACATTATGAAAATAACAGATCATTTTATGAAAGAAATACTTGGAATGTATTTTCTAAAGCTTTCAAAATGAGAACAATTTAATATTGTCAAATGCTATAAAATCTGTTGCAATCTTTTATTAAGTTTTAAGATATTGTCATATGATCAGACATAATACTCCCTTTTCATAATATAATTCTTTGAACATATATGACAGTAAATTAATGGAAAGTTTCTTGCTAAAAAATAATATGTGATAAATGATTGAAAAGGATTAAAGAAAAAAAGAAACAAAGATTATAAAGTCAACATCATGTTACATAAATAATGTGTATATAATCTTAAACAAATTGGTAAAAGAAATATTGATCAATTCAAAATATTGACTTGAGTATTGACTGAATTATTTCTATGATTTAATGAGAACATCTAATTCATATTGCACCTAAAATGAAGACCTTATCTTTGACATCTAAATTAAGTAACAAAATACTTAAGTTTTACACTTTTCAACTGAATGGTTATTATATAACACACACATAAAATAAAATTTTATCATAAAGCATATGCTAAATGTAGGTTTAGAGAACTAAATTATAACACAGTATTGAAAATCTGAGAAGGTAAAAGAAATTTTTATAAATTTGTATTAATAACTCAAAATTTTCAACTGCAACAATTTATCCAATCTTTTAGAAAATTTGAGGGACAAGTTTTCAGAAATTACTATTTAGAATCAAATAATAAAATTAACCTGTGTTTTTTATGAAGATTATTATTCTATATATTTTGACCTGACTTTACCCAATTTGTATTTAAGTACATTTTAAAAAAAAATATAATAAAAACAAATATTTTAAAAAGCAATTCTGGATGTTGTAGTTGCATTTAAAATCATAGGACTATTATGCATAATCACATGTATATATACCTCTTTACAATAATATGCTTGTAAAACTGTAAAGTCTTTAAGAATATGAATATCTGATGTCAGTCAGACTGCTTATCATTATAGATAAGTTATAAAAAAAAAACAAAGTGAAAGCCATTTGAAGGTTAAGTCCTTTTGCAACAAGCCTGACCCTGAATGTATGTTGATATATGTATATAGTTAAATTCTATATTGTGTTCCTTGTATCTTTTCGATTTAAAATAGCATACCAAATTTTTTTTATCACAGATAATATGGACGGAATGCATATATACAATCTGACAAAATACATACAAAAGATTTTGTTTTCGTTTTTCATAAATATAACATTCATACAATATCACAGTTAAATATATGTCTAATAGCACTGGAAATATTGTTTTGTGGCACATGACAGAGAGATTGTCTCCCCTTCAGATCATTTTCTTCTTCCTTTTCTAAAGCTACGATCTGTGTGTACTACTCCACCATCATCATCATATCCCAGAAGTCTTCTTAATTTGACAATTTCCTGTTTATATCTAAAAAAAAGGATTTGAGTTGTATAAAGAATTTTGCAAATTATTTATAATACCGGCTAGATATAAACAAACCCATTCAGAAAACTTCACATTTAAACATTGTAGAAATTTGAATGTCAACAGAGCACAGCTTCAGAATGGGACCTCAGATACTGCATACACAGATATGCATAAATGCTTATCTGATTGTGTGAAAAATATCAATGGTCTATCATAAGTACCTATAATACTCAAAATAGTCTTATCCAAAAAATTTACATTTCATGTTGACAACAGAAAAGTTATGCTAAATATTGGTCAATGTAGGAAGAAATAAATGGAGAATGTGTCCATACAACACAGATGATGCCCCGGCTTGCATATAACTTATAAAGGGACATAACTCAAGAACTGTAAAAGTGATGCCACCCAAATTCAAACTTGATCTGAGTTTTGTGGAAATAAGCATTGTGTATAAGTTTTATAACATTTGGTTGAGGCAAACTTTAGGGAACAGAAACAAAATTAAGCAATTTTTCCATTTGTAAAGGGCATAACTCTAGAAAGGTAAAAGTGACGCCACCCAAATTCAAACTGTGTTTTGTGGTAATAAGCATTGTGTAAAACTGTCATAACATTTGGTTGAGGCAAACTAAAGTAAGAGAACGGAAACTAATTTTGGGACGTACGGACGGACGTACAGATGGACAAGGGTAACACTTAATGCCCCCTCCGCTGCAGCAGGGGTATAAAAGGTAAACCCAATCTGTAGTTCTTCATGACAATTGTAATTTTTTCCTATGTTATGACCATCTTTTAATTAACCCCAAACCTTGTATAACTCAAATTTAACCATGATAACAGATCCACAAAATAAGTATTTTGGCTAGTATATATCTTAATCTTATTTAGTTAAGAACTAAATACCTTTTATAGCAGACTATAGGGTATGGGATTTTCTGATTGTTGAAGGCTGTAAGGTTGCCTATAATTGCTTGTATCCACTTCATTTGAAGTTTGGTGGGTAGTTGTCTCATTGGGAATCATACCACATCTCCTTATTTTTATAGGATATCACATCTGCTTCACATCAAACCTTAAACTCAATTTTAAACTTGATCACTGAACAATGAAACAAATTGTCACACCATCCTTTGGGCCTATAGTTTTGATAGTTTATAAATATATGATGTATTTTGTGATGAAGTTATATTGTGATATATCATCTACTTTGATTCAAAGTATATTCACACAATCTAAAGGTAACAGATAGATGCAGAATCTCAAACACTACACACTTTGCTGTTTGGTGCTGATAGTGCATAAAATGTTAAGAAAACTAAAAATTGCTTAGGGGTTGTAATTCCCTAAAAAGTAGTAAAATGATTGATTGATTGGTGTTTAACCCCACTTTCAGCACTATTGGCTATTTCATGGCAGTCAGTTTTTATTGGTGGAGGAAGCCGTAATGCCCAGAGAGAATCACCGACCTTTGGCAGGAGAACTGACAATCTAGTTAATTATGATTGGAGTCGATTGCACCTGTTACTTGTGGGATTCAAACTCACAACCTCAGTGTTGACAGGCTAGTGATGCAATAGTAGGACTACTTAGACCACTCAGCCCTAAACTTAAATGAAGTTCAAACTCCTTTATAAAAAGACTAAATATCTGAAATAATATGGAGACGAAAAATTTAAGCTGCATGAAGATGATGTCATTAAACTTACTTTTAAATAAAGATTCATACTTGGCAAAAACAATATTTTATTTACAGTGAAGTTAACTAACCAATTACATGTAGCACCTACTGGTTGAAGTGTCATTGTTCAAATTAATTTGAATTGTCACAATACCTGAAGGTCATACATTTTATTTCACAGCCTTAGGTTTGCACCCTGGATAATCAAATAATAACAAGTCAACAAATTTGCATTACTATCATTAAAATAATCAATGCTATTTAATCAGTAAAACTTTCAAACTGAATTGTATTTTTCAATTTGTAATAGTCCTGTCAACAGTGAAGCAAATATTGCCAAATACAGTGAAACCTGTCCAAACTGAACACCCTCCAGACTTGATGTTTTGTTTCGTTTTCACAGGTGTTAGGATTGTAGAGGTACACAGAAGTTGAAAGTTTAAAATCATTTCAACACTGACTAATGACGGACAGATGTAAAAGAATGCTTTTTATAGACGCAGATAAACATGATAATCAAATGTAAGTTTATAGGTCAAGCTCCTTATTAACAAATAAAAAATTTCAGTATGGTTAATGTCTGATCATTGTATAAAAAAAAAAAAAAGTGATAGTCCCGGATGTCTACATCGTCGTTTGGTTCAATGAAGTTTTCCTCCATAAATTGACTGTTTAAGTCAGATTCCCAATCAATGCTAAATGCCTATTCTGTACAGTAGTTTAATTGTCATCAGAATCAGATTTCCATTATCTGCACACTTTGGTTATCTGACCTTAACTGTTGAACTAAAATGGATAACAAATGGTCATCATCCAGGTCTTCAGACTCATCTGCATTCGATGGAGTCTCTAAAGGGAACCCCAAATTACGAATTTTTTTTTTAACATTTTATCTATTTCTTGTTAGGAGTTTCCATTTAAACAATATATTTATGTACATTTACAAGCTAATTAGTTTATAAAAACAACTCCTCATTGAATTAAATTTCAAATAGCCTCTGGGATCTGTCATGTGTTTGATTGATCACTCATGACAAATAATTGTAAATACTTACATTGTTTTGATTGCTATCGATCGATTTTGACAGGTTATCTTTTAATACACATTCAATAATGAGCCTTCAAAAAGCATGCGGAATTTGGTATCAGCAGGGTTCGTTTTATTCAGGTTGAATTAACGTTAATTAATAGGGAAATTTCATGGGACTTTGGAAATTGTTATGTAAAAGTGAAATTCACGGTTTTCCCAGGTTTCAATGTACATAGAAAAAAAACACTGTAGTTTTTTTAGCTTAGAGGTTTTCTTTGACTGCTAAAATAAGCAATTTGCAAAATGAATCCTATATGCTATAGTATTAATATCTGTTTCTATTTGATCTTGAAAGCCACACTCAAAAGGAAAATATTTTACAAATTATCAAGGGGAGTATATACCTAATAAGATGGTGATCTATATAGTCTTGGCTTTCTTTCAGTTGTTCTTTCAACATAGAATTCTCACTGAGAAGTTTGGCTCTTTCGTCCTCTAGCTGTTGTTGAGTATTCAGTGTATACTCACGTAACTGTTTACGCAGAGCTGCCCACGTCTCGGCTGGTTTCTCTCCAGGCCTATAAAATGTTTCATTAATTTTAAATGAAGTTTCAAATCATTATAAACTTGATTATTTTCCTTTGATAAATAATGAAAAAGTCTTAAGTAGTATAATTATTCCCAGATTGATAATTTCTTAGAAATCATGACCATACTGGTATTTATAACGAGCATATTTTCTCTGACAAGAAAATGATACTGTAATAACAGAAGTCAATTCAGGTCATTTAGAATTGAAGACAAACCTCTGAAGTCTACACAAAATGTGTCCCCATTTTCTTTTAATTGTCTTCATTTTACAAAACAATACCTAATGATTTCTATTCTTGACCAGTGCATATGGTTTTGACACTTTTATCAAATTATACAATCTAATATAACATTTGTCAGCTATATAAAATTTTGTTGATCAAGTAGCATTTTTTTTATCAGTGCAATCCGAGACTTCTATAACATAATATAGTAGTCTCAGATGCAATCAAATTAATTATACTGCCAAATTCTAATTTGATCACTTCAATTGATAAATCATAATCAGTAATATTTATAAATGCTTGTATCACCCACTGATTTATTGTTGGGCTATGAATGAAAGTATTTGTTGACAGCTTTACAGGTAATTACCACTCAAAACTATTTTATATAATCTCAAATATTAGGGAAAACATTGTCAGGGGGGAATCAACAAGCAACAGGAAGATTTGGAATTTGGTGTAAGATCATTGCACGTTTGACTTATTGTTGATACTATTACAGAAACTGGTTAAGTACATCAATTTTTCTTGATGATAGATTTGTAAACACATTTTTTTAAATACCTCATGTGTAGTCATCTATGTTGTTCATTATTAATAGATTTGAGACTAGTTATATATCATTACCTAATTTTGTAGTCATCAGTGTCACCCTTAACACCATACTGAAACAATATAATATTTAATCAATATCAAGTGTATAAAAGCTGTAATTATAATGTGTATTTTTGCAACTCATTGTTCAATGTTTTGAGCTAAATACAAAATCATCTTCACTTATTTCACTCTGACTTGATTTTAGTAGCATGAATAACACCATTTCTATAATTTCGCTCACACTAATCTTGCAGAAATAAGTTTTAAGAACAACACAAAATATTGAAAAATCATGTCCTGAAATGGCAAGGGCCTAAACTCTTTATATAATCTAAATAGTCACCAATCCTGGGTTTTGATTGGTCTATACTGGCAGTTATGTTTTATGGGGATAGGTAAATCGGAGCTGTTGACCTCTCGAATTCTTTAAAGTTGCTGTCAAAAATATAATAACAAAAATTCTCTACATCTATTACTCTAAGTGATACGTTTTATGATTTTGAAAGTGACTTATAGACCCAATGGGTCAGGAGTATTTTATTGTTTATGTAATATATTTGTATTTTGTTAAACTGTTATTACACATGTCACTATAATAAAAATTTACTTACTTACTTACTTACTTCTATTGATGATTTACAATTTTCTAGTAAATTGGCAGACTATAAGTTATGTTCTGGTCTGCAAGAGAGGTCTTTAAAAGACAATTTTATTTAACAAAAAACAGATTAGAAAATGGGACAAATAAAAGAAGTAGGACCGTGTGTTTTGCAGAATATTTCCATAATATACATGAGAGGTACCTTAAAATAGTAACTGGATGATTCTATGCATGACATGCTTGTAATTAAATAACAAAATGGTTTATCTCCATAGTTCTCTAAGTATGAGAATTGAATAACTACCTTAATCATTCATGTTAAACTACTGCAAATATGAGTTACCACACATCTCCTTTACTTTGAAGGATAGCATTTGATAGAATTATAATACCATGTATATTTTTTCAATCAAGAGGCTAACAAAATAGATTGTACACCCTCCTTTGATCCATAATTTAAATAAAGAAATACTTACTCTAATTTTCATATTATCCAGTGTTTTCCTAAGTTCATTATTAGTTGTTTTTAGTCTAGTTATCTCCCTTAGATTGGCAGAATCAATTTCTGATTCATTCAGTTTAAGTTCTGTTTCATCTGGTCCCATGTCTATATCATCTATTCCTCTCTGTTCACTCTGAAGTCGTAAATTCCTGTTATAAATGTATGCAAAATACATTACAAAGTAGAAACAACATATCACAGTGTGTAATTTATGTAGGTAGGTGTAATAACACCAAAACATCAGGTTTCATAAGTAAAAGGGTTGCAAAAAAAAATTCCCTTGAAATTGATAGTTGTAGGAAATTAACCCTGCATTTCATTGCAGAATTTTTTTTCTGAGTAATAAACATATAGCTTGGGTGTTTCAAAGTACTATTCTTTTTTTCACTTTGTGTTCCAATAAAATATTTTGGAAACTTGGAGTAGACATGGTTACTAAAGCTTGTAAACAGGGAAAATAAGTGATGAAAAGTTGATTTAGTTTACTTCCAATGATGGTTACTTTCGCATATGCAATGAAATATGGTGTGAAATTTTTATTATAGTATTTGACAGTCATGCCAAGTATTTTTTTATTTGAAATAAAGATAAATTCTGCACAATTTTTTGAAAATGCAAATTTAACAAAGACTAATAGGTTGCAACATATAGAGAAGAAACTTCTTACCCTTCCAGAGCACCTGATGTCACCCCAGTTTTTAGTGTTGCTCAATGTTTAGTTTTCTATGTAATATTTTGTTATTGTTGTTAGTCTTTTCCTGGTTTTTAATTTTGGCTATAGGGCTGTCTGAAATTTTGGACTTATGATTTTCAATGACCCCTCTGTATCTTCTCTCTCTTTTGTCTCATTATGCACAATATATTAAAATGGTCAACGTTTTTTCATGATTTACTCCTTAAAAATGGAATTAAGAACTAAATCATAAGTAATGACTAATATTTTTTCTGTCTATTCGAAATAACCTCAAAAATGTGGTGCACTCTTTTAAATAACACACATATACAGGGGTTATTCAGTGTGCACCACATTTTTGATGTTATTTCTTCATAGACAGAAAAAATATAATAATACAGTCATTCCTTAAATATTTTTAAATCTTGTACAGAACCTGTAATGTATCAATAATTCCTCATATTTGTGTAACAAAGCTTTCTTGTTTTCTCTGTACTGCTGAGCTGCCATACTAAGTTGTTCTTCCCTTTCTTTGTGGGATTTAGAGATATCTTTCAGCATATTATCTACATATTCCCTCATGTGTACAGACTGTCTTGGATCTGGTCCTGATCCTTTGTCCACATATTCCTAAATATTGTAATTTTGATAAGGTCACTATATAAATAACAATTTGTGGCACTAAATTTTGACAAACTAATGATATAAGAACATGTAAGATCATATTCTCTTTACAGATAAGTAAACCTGAGCTTAAAAATTTCTCAGGCAAATGATTGTATTTAAAGGCATTTTTTCTTCTTCAAATTCCTGAAAATTTTACCTGTCCTATGATGTATGTGTTGAACACAGTCATATACTGATATATGTCCACTTTGGTAAGTTAAGTTGTTTAGTAGCTGTCTTTTTCAGATATATCCTATATGTCCTTTTATTCATATTTCAAACAGACAATTTTTATCTATCAAACTTAGAAAGGATATAGATGTACCAAATTACTTCAACTTCAGTGTAAATATGCCATTTTCATTATATAATTAAATCAACAGAAATGTTGCCTGAATACATTCATTACAAGCCAATATATACAGGCAAAATACATTGCTAAAAGCAAAAATTGCATGCAACCTATGCACAAAATAATTATTTAACAATACTCACAGCAATATCCTCAACATATTTGATGAGCCTTGCTCTGTAATCTTCACCTATGTCTTTTACTTTGTGATGCATTCTGTTATTGGACACTTCTAATTGTTCCTTCTCACCTCTTGCAATTATCAGGGCCTGGAGTTAAATGAAGACCTCAATAAATCATATATATCAAGTCAAAAAAATCTTAGTCCATGCCTAATCTTTATGAACAGATATCCTCTAAGATTGTATTTTCACATAAGGACAGATAATTCTAAATCTTCAAGCATCTGTTATTTCAACTTTGATCCAAACATTTATCAAAGTAGTCTGATAAGGAAGTTAAAGTCAGAACAATTTACTTTTATTGAATTCTTTCCTTTTCAATAAGGCCAGAAGTAAATTTAGTTAAAAGTCACATTAGAATAAAAAGTAACTAAGTGTCATCCTGTTTTGCCCGGATATTGATGCACTCACTACATTGAACTCAATTGCTAGCATGTTTACCAGTACTTGTATGAAATATTTAAACTTTACTGTTGATTTCATATTCATTTTATTGTTTTTAAATATCATTTTAAAACTATCAACCTCAGGGCTGTCTTGCTTTCAAGCTTCAAATGCTGCACTACTTTTATATAATCTACTAAAATTAAAAATTCTGATATACTATTATATATATGTTGTAAGTTGTTCCCTATATATTGAAAATTTCGTTTCAAAATGCAAAGATAAATATCTCACAGCATTTAATTCTGCTATTCTTCTTTGTCTATCTCTGGCCAAGTTTCTGGATTCCTGTATTTCCTTTTGCATTAACGTTCTGAAACAAAATACAGTATAAAGTTTACCTAAAAAAAATTTATCAATATTGTGTCAGATAGTGGATGTTATGTATGCAGAAAAGAGCAGAAATCTGAAGATGTTTTTTGTCCACATTAGATTTTGTTTGTGGTAGTCATACAAGAGGTTTTGTTATGTTTTATGTCTTTCACTGAAAGATAAATGAAAATAACACTTTATAAATTTGGTGCATCTTTCAAAAGTGCTTAATGAGGAATAGTCAACTGATTGATTGATTGGTGTTTAACACCACTTTCAACACTATTGTGCTATTTCGTGGCGGTAGGAATAGTCAAACCCCAAATTTGATAGCCAAGGATGTATAAATACTTGAATATATGAGGATTGATATGGCTAAAAAGGACCTTTAAAGAATAGCCAAAAAGATCTAAGGTAAACACTGCCTGAGGGAGTTGGAACCAACAATGCTGACAATGGAAGTATTCTTGGATATGATTTTTTTGCTATTTTTCTCTCATATAGTTAATCTGTACAAGCAAGTATTAACATATTTCTATACTCTGTTTGTTCAAAACAATAACACTTAATGCTACATTAATAAATAGTGCATTGCAGTTCCAAATTTTCACTCAATTTGTGTAATGTTTTATTTTATCATACATAATGTTTTAAATAAATATCAGTCAGCATTGCAAGTAAAACAGATATTTGTGACCTTCAAATCCTAAATTGACAACTCTTCATATACAGTACAGTTATTTTTATATAAATGTTTAAAATTAAAATTTTGTAATGTCATTAAAAAAAAAACAACATTTCTAATAATCCTGAAACCTCCATTGTGACTGCTAAAAGTTGTTACTAATGACACTGACTGTCTACAAAGAATTTCCCCTCACATCATCCAGTCAAAAGTAGTGATATATATCATATGGCGTAGAATTAGGAATTACATTTTTTTTTACTGTTTTCATCTCTCTTAAACACTTAAAAAGATAGTTTCAATAAACGCACAGCACAACTTACTTTCTTTATGGAAAACAGGAGATTCTACATTTCAACTTGCTTTTGGAAGGATACCATGATAGCAGTATATTTATATATATATCTGCACGGAGAATTTGACTAGCTAATTTGTTTAACTTACACTCTACCCTCCAGCCTCTGTTGTTCATCACCATATTCTCTTTTAAGCTTATCCATATCTTTCTCATATCTTTTTCTATTTGTAAACAACTGGAATAATATAATGTAGGATATTGTCAAATGAAATCCCATAACTGTTTAAAAAGTTACGAAACAATCTTTGTTGAACTAAGCTCACATATCAATAAAGATATCAAAGCAATGGTTTGTATTGATTATGATATAATTTCAAAAAAACAGTTACACATTTCAAGATCTCCATCAAAATTCTAATCACCATCTGTCATTTATATTTTGTAGAAACATTAAATTTAGTGTGATTAAAATATTGTAGTTTTTTTTCTCTATTTTTGATTTCATTGGATCGATTCATTTTTTGTGGTTTTCAGTGAAAGTAATATTCGTTGTAGGTAAATTTATTGTTGATGTTTTAATTTCATAGATAATGTATATCCCTGAAATAAACGAAATTAAAGCTTAACCAAAATTTCTGCATTTACAGTATTTTAAATGCAAAGTAAATAAAAAGCTGTAGTTGAAACACATTTGTATGTGTTCTAAAATCATTGTATCATCTAAAATAAACCTAAACTTACAGTATTTTCTACATCTTTTCTGTTTTCTTGTGATCCTAATATTTCATCAGCCTAAAAAAAAAAGAAATATGTCAGTTTCTAGTTTTTTAAAACATTTAGATGAAAATCTTGTTGGATTGGAACGTTAAATCTGTATAATGTTGTTAGTCATTATTGAAGGAAAATATTCCCTACTAAAGTACAGCAAAACTTGTGTTTACTTATCTTTGTATGGGATTTAGTGATTGGGTGGTTTACATGCATATATACCCATACTTAAAAAAAAAAGATGAATGTACTTCTCCAATAAATACAGATATCAAGGTAACTAAACAAACTAGCCATTCCTAACCTCATTTGTAAAATCTTTTAATTCATGATGCTTATCATGATTTTAATTGTTAATTGATAAAATATTCCTGTGCATAACTTGACATTTATCTATTTTAAGGCAGCATTACACAATGTGTTCCCTGTGAACAACCTTATAATCTATACACTGTGATACCTAGTTGGAACATCATATTAAAATGATCTTTACAACCAGAAAAAGATTTAATTATCACAATATAGTTACTTTTATCCTTCCAGAAGAGTTTTTGATGACTATAGCTTTGACTCTGCTTATTTCAGCATCTGGATCACCCAAACCATGGTCACTATCAGACAAAGCTTGTACTTGTTTCATTAAAGTGGCTTTAGCATTTACCAAGTTCAATAACTCTATACTTAATTCCTCATTACGTTTTGACTGAAATAAAATGATAATATATTTTTAATTCATAATACATTTTTGTTATGTTAAAGGAAAGTCAATGCAAAACTCTTTAAAAAAAGAAAAAGATAGGTAATTTGAATATATAAGTGAAATCTGTGTGTAAACAGATACATGAATATTTTCTAAAAAATACTTGAATGGCCTGTTGCATAGAATGTTTCTTTAATAATGGAGAATGGTCTATAATGAACTGTTTAATATATTGAAGTATAAAATGCAAAAAAAAAGTGGGGAATCTTTAAATAACTCCAAAATAAAAGCTAAACATTCTGTGAAGTTTCAAAGAATTCTGCTGAAAACTGCAGAAGGTGTTTTATATTATTAAAATATTAAAAAAATTGCCATAATAGCAGGTGCACTACTTCAATATTTGAACAATCAATCTGTTTGAAGATCTATGTTGAAAACTGTGGAAGGAGATGATTTCACAAAAAAGGTACTTTCTTTTGTAAATTTAGCCAAAAAATTACTAAGATCTAAAGTCAGAAAAATAGGGAAAAATCCTCAAATAATTTTATAATAGCTGGTGCACGTTTAACGTCAAAGTGTGGGTAATCTATCTGTGCCGTTTGATGGGTCTGGGTTAAAAACTGAAAGTTTTTTTTTACCTCTTTCTCACTTTCTCTAACAAGAGCCAGATAATTAGTTTTCAGAACAACATATTCATCAGCAAGATCTTTTCTATCCTTTTCCATTTCACTAAGCCTCTCTTTGGCATTCCTAGCTGACCTAGTAAATTTATCTCTTTCTGCTTCAGCTTCCATCAAACTGTTCTCCAACATTAATATCTGTCAACATAAATAAACAAATGTTTCATCACATTTTTAAATAAACTATTTAATCTAAAAATTTATACAAACAACCCAAAATTTGGAGTTGCCCACAAGAATGTTATAAGTATAAATAACTTGCAAAATTAAAACAAAAGGACTAAATAAAATACTAATGCCTGTGCAATTAACTATCTATATGAAACTCATATGTTTGCTTGTATGCTAGAGCATCCAATTTGTCCTGACAAATGTTCAAAACATGCCATCTTTCTACTTTTAATTATCAGGAGCATTCCCTTGTGATTTTATAACTGGCTTCGTAAATGCAATTTTAGACCGTATGCACCTTTAGCTTATGAAGGATCATTTAACTAACCTTGTTTGTAAGTTCAAATTTTGTAGCCTCAGCTTCCTCTCTGATCTTGTTATTCTCTATCTGCATTTCTACCAATGACTGTGATACCTGCAATCAAAATGGATTATAAATACAAGGAACAAAATAACATTGTTCAAACATGTTATATTTGATAATTAAAACATTTCATTTTAAATTTGGTCTATGAATGTTTAACTTCTCAATTCAGATTAAAACCTGATCAAATCCATAGTTTAAACCATATTCTTGCAAGAAGGGTACTCCCTTAAGATTGCAAGGTTGCTCTTAAAATTGCCTCAGGTTACCAGATTACTTTATTTAACTAAGTCTAAGATTGCACATTTTTAAAGGTTACAGGTCACAGGTCAGATTTGACCATATTGGAGCCACGATAGTCAACAGTCCAAAATTGTTCTGTGAAAACTTGGGTATTTGAAATATGTGAACTGTTTGCAATGTTTTTTTTTAATTTGATGCATTGATATAATAAAGAAACTCAGCTACACCATGCATTTTAAGCATCTAACTGTATTTTTTCTAAATTGAATAGTAAAATAAAACTGATATAATAAAAACATTAAGGGGGTTCTCATTGGGGGGTTCTGATCCCGGAACCCGCTTACTGTTTTGTTAGATTCCTTTATCCCACTTACACTATGTACGTAAGCAATTCTCATTTTTTTGTAATTTCCCGTGTCCCGCTAGACTTCATTTCCCATTTTCATGGCACAATAATTTGACTTTCACGTGTCACGCTTACAAAAAATCGGCAATCCCGGGTCACGCTTAGACCCCAATGAGACCCACATTAAGTGAATCATTTACCTTCAATTTTTCCTCTTCAGTCATGAGAAGTTGTTGAGAGAGATCTGTCTTGGTACTGGCCATATTACCAAACCGAGACTGTAACTGGTCTACTTTACTTCTCAGCCGTTCATTATCATCCTTCAGTTTTAACTATAATTTAAAAAAAAACATTTATAAGCAAACAATTGAAACATTTCAAGTTAAAATCTTTGTAGTAAACAATTTTGAACTAGCTGTCTGTAACTGCGAGTACTGTCAGATCTGTACTTAGTGTCTTTTTTTATGTTAGGGATGAGGGATGGATATATACCCTGCAATGGCCTGTCTGTGTTTTTGTTTGATGTTTTCTTTGTATTGATCTGTCCCAGGTTAGGGGGAGGGTTGAGCACTCACAAATATGTTTAACCCAACCACATTCTTTATGTGCCTGTCCCAAGTCAGGAGCCTATAGTTCAGTGGTTGTCGTTGGTTCATGTCTGTCATATTTGTTTTTCATAAATTGTTTTGTTATAAATTAGACAGTTATAATTGTTTCATAATTTTCTTGTTGAGGCCTTTCATAGCTGACTATACAGTATTGCTTTTTCTCATTGTTGAAGGCCTTACAGTTGCCTATAATTGCTTACATCCACTTCATTTGAGCTTTGGTGGATAGTTGTCTCAGTGGCAATCATACCACATCTCCTTATCTATACTATTAAATGAGAAGACCTCATTTTGTGGGTCGCTTCTGTTCCTTCCACAATAAATTAATCATCATGCCTCTGTATCTTATAGGTACCATGCATAGTCGCATTTGTCATCCTTGCTTATGATTGATCAGTTTGGGTTATTTCGAGAGAAAAACGAAAATAAAGGCATCCAGATATTGTTTCTGTCAGCAGACAGACTTTTAAGTCATAGACAAGTCTTCCGTTTAGGATTGTTAAAATTAAACATAATTTTCATAAGTACTTGGGGACAGGACAATTATTTTTGCGTTTTTCTGTATACTATAAACATACATATACTATAAATAAAGTGTATTTGCTATTTACTATCAATTCCAAGTTTACTATCCACAGCAGTCACTGATATATTATATAATAACTTTTTTATACTGGCTAACTGTAAAATATTGTCATAAAAATGTTAACAAATGAAAGATTTCTTTTTTTAACAAATTGAAGCTTTAAGATAGCTAGTTCTGTGTCCTTACTAATAATGATAATAATGATATATATAATATATCAGTGACTGCCGTGGATAGTAAACTTGGAATTGATAGTAAATAGCAAATACACTTCATTTATAGTATATGTATGTTTATAGTATCCAGAAAAACAGAAAACAAAATGATAAAGGACTTTGGAAAAAATGGGGAGGGCTAAAAGAAATTGTCCTGTCATAAAGTACCTATGACTTTTGATACCTTTCCTGAAATTCTCCAGTCATAAAATCTTTTACAAAAGTTCATCCTACAACAGTTTACATACTTTCAACCACGCTCTAAATGCCCGCGATTTCGCGGGTGTGTTCTAGTTTTTAAAATGATAGGTAAATAAAGAAATATCTGTAAAGAAACCTAAATATTTTCTCTAACCTGGTCATAGTATTTTTTTTTTATAGAAGAAGGTCAAAATCTTTGTAAATGTAACATTTAAAGATCTTATCAGAGCTGTAAATAGGAAACAAAACTGAATCATTATTATTAAGGACACAGAACTAGCTATCTTAAAGCTTCAATTTGTTAAAAAAAGAAATCTTTCATTTGTTAACATTTTTATGACAATATTTTACAGTTAGCCAGTATAATAAAGTGATAAGAATAATGTGTTTAAGAAACCTTTAGAAAATCGGAATCTGCCCAAACAGTTTTTTTTTGTTTTTATTTAGACTTATGCAGCAATTTAGAGCATGCATACACTGAATAGTATGTCATTATAAAACACTTTTTTGCTTATGCATTTGAATAAATATATTGTTACATTTTCACAGTAAATCCTACAAGTAGAAAATCTAATTTATCTTCACCTGAATTATTTATGGAACAAAATGTATTATACCTTTATCCCATTCTCACTTTATAAAGAGCTTGTTAAATGTTTTTGACAAAAATTGAAGTTTGTACCTAAAAGTCTGGCATTATAACTAATATAAATTGTATTTTGTTCGTGAAAACACTATTCATTTACTATACACTGCACTAGCTTGATTTCTAAAGATAGTCTTGATAAGGCTTAACATACCACCTGTGGAGAATTTAATGGAATCTGAAACATGTATTGTAATGACAACTGTGACAAGGTTTAAAGTACATGTATTACTAATCTATGAAAATATCTAAATATAGAAAATAAAAAGAGTACAATGTACTTTATTTCAAGCAAGTTCAAAAGTAAGTTTAATTCCACTGTATACAAAAACAAGTAATTCTGCAATCATCAGCATTTCAACAGATGAAGCAAATGGATAACCACTGTCACATTCATGACTTGGTGCATATGCACTCTCAAGTAAAAGTTGGGGGATAAATCTGAAGAACTTAAGTCTTTCAAAAACATAGTTAACACTGAAATCAACAGCTAGTTAAAAAGACGTACCAATCAAAGGTAACCAAGTCCAAAAGACATATTTTAACTACCACAGCCGTGTTTGAACCCACAACCTCAATGTTGACAGGTTAGTTATCACTTTAGAATAACCACTAAGACCACTAGGCCACAGAGGCCCAGACACTGGAAGTGTGTTTCAGAGGCCAGACACTGGAAGTGTGTTTCAGAGCCCAGACACTGGAAGTGTGTTTCAGAGCCCAGACACTGGAAGTGTGTTTCAGAGGCCAGACACTGGAAGTGTGTTTCATGTTAATCTATTTCTTGGTCAAAAATATTTGGATGACAAATGTGTTCTATATTAGTTTCACCAAAATGCTCCTGATTTTTTTTAATTTTGGCTAAAAACTGTCTTATCTTCTTAAGTTTACCACTTGAATGATGTCAGAGACAATTGTTTCATTTTGCCTATGAAGCAAATACTTTATTTTTTTTTAAAACTTTTACCCTGAAGTTGAAAAAAATTGTGATTTATAATGATATATATACATTTCAATTTTTTTCAGTGAAACTTACTTTCTCTTTTCTCTCACCATTGGGAACACTTTGGTTAAAGACTCATTTGTCTGAGTTGTAATGATCATTCAAATGTATAATTGAAAGAAAAAAAGCAAAGAAATTCTTGAAAAGCCACAAATGCAATGCAAACAGAAAGCAAAGCAGAAGATAAACAAGAAGGCTCCAATCTTAACCTTCTAAATAAATATCTAACTGCTATAATTGTTTTCTGGAGAGGATGACAGGCCCTTCTAGTTGGATGATTTTTTTCTATTACAATTGTAGTTAGAATGAAACTGAGGATCTATAAGCAGCCATCCTTTTTTTTATTTTATGGATTTGCCACTATCATGTACATGCCTATAATAAAATAAAAAAGACCTCCTCTGTTAGTGAGTTTGTTAATTACATAATAAACCACTAATGTGTTCATCACTTTTCTTGAAAGGAGTCAATTTGATATAGAGTGTTATAAACGATTTTAAAAACATACATGAAAGTTGAAATCACAATTTTTCAGAATCACGTTGGTAAATTAAGAAATAATTCTTCCATGTCACATTGTATGCTCATATTAATATAGGTAGGTTACCGTAGGTACCTTATTTTATTTGTCAATATCTTTACACAAAGCGTAAGCATAGAAAACAAAAATGTTCTAAAAAACAACCTTTAAGAAAAAATTCACACACCTAATTAAATGGGCATTTAAAAAGTCAGAATGTGAATATATATGTTCAAACTCTTTTAGGTCATTTTTTAGTAGCAATAAACAAAAAAACTATGTCAATTGGACATGCTTTGATACTATATATGCCCTTGAATTTTTACTAGATAACATTTTTGTTCGCTTTGGGGATTCCGTATATCGTCAGGTTATCGGAATTCCAATGGGGACTAACTGTGCACCACTTATTGCGGACCTTTTTTTGTATTGCTATGAGTTACAATTTATGACAAAAATCAGCAAAGACCCATCGAAACAACATCTGATACACAAATTTAATAATACTTTTAGATATTTGGATGATATTTTGGCTCTCAATAATGACGAATTCAGTATGTATACTAAAGAAATTTATCCTGTTGAACTTACTTTAAATAAAGCTAATACTAACAATGACCACTGCCCTTTCCTCGATCTTGATATCTATATCATTAATGGAAAGCTTAATACTAAAATATATGATAAAAGAGATGATTTTTCATTTCCTATCGTTAATTATCCATTTTTAGATGGTGACGTTCCCTTGTCACCATCTTACGGTGTTTATATATCTCAACTTGTACGATTCGCTCGTGTATGTAACAATGTTTTAGATTTTAACGAGAGAAATTTATGTATTACTGAAAAATTATTACACCAGGGTTTTCGATATCATAAACTAGTCAAAACATTTACTAAATTTTATCATCGGTATAAGGACATCATTCGTAAATATAGCTCAACATGCAGACTTCTTATACGTTCAGGTATTTCACATCCAATTTTTTATGGAAATATTCTTTATAAAGCACAAAAATGTCAGTATTCACCTCTGAAGCTAACAAAACCTTTAAATAGACTTATTAAGAAGGGATATAGTTACAATACTGTTGTCAGGTCATTAAAGATTGCATATTTTGGCGTTAATATTGATTCACTTATAGGGTCTTTGCATCGGCACTAAACACATTTATTTAAAAACCAGTTGTTGACATGACACGGGTTATGTTCTTCTCATATATGTTATGATGGTATGATACTAAACCCCTAACGGGAAGGATTGTGCCTGATATTCATATGATGAAGACATAATCTTTCAATCAGTTTAATTGAAGTCTGGAGCTGGCATGTCAGTTAACTGCTAGTAGTCTGTTGTTATTTATGTATTATTGTCATTTTGTTTATTTTCTTTGGTTACATCTTCTGACATCAGACTCGGACTTCTCTTGAACTGAATTTTAATGTGCGTATTGTTATGCGTTTACTTTTCTACATTGGCTAGAGGTATAGGGGGAGGGTTGAGATCTCATAAACATGTTTAACCCCGCCGCATTTTTGCGCCTGTCCCAAGTCAGGAGCCTCTAGCCTTTGTTAGTCTTGTATTATTTTTAATTTTAGTTTCTTGTGTACAATTTGGAGTTTAGTATGGCGTTCATTATCACTGAACTAGTATATATATTTGTTTAGGGGCCAGCTGAAGGACGCCTCCGGGTGCGGGAATTTCTCGCTGCATTGAAGACCTGTTAGTGACCTTCTGCTGTTATCTGTTCTATGGTCGGGTTGTTGTCTCTTTGACACATTCCCCATTTCCATTCTCAATTTTATTTCACAATAAAAAAGTGTATAAATGTATAAACACTTTCTTATAAGACAATTTTATTGAATTTACTTGCAAGCAACACCAACAGAAATGCCCATTTTGACCTCAAACATCGATCAGAATATAGCTGATATTGCAAGTTTTATTGTGGCATCATGCATGTTTACCTCATGTGTTGTTGGAATTAGAATGTGGCTCTGTTTACAAAGCGAAAGGAAAGCATCAAATTAAAATGTGGCTCTGTTTACAAAGCCAAAGGAAAGCATCAAATTAGAATGTGGCTCTGTTTACAAAGCCAAAGGAAAGCATCAAATTAGAATGTGGCTCTGTTTACAAAGCCAAAGAAGAGCATCAAATTAGAATGTGGCTCTGTTTACAAAGCCAAAGGAGAGCATCAAATTAGAATGTGGCTCTGTTTACAAAGCCAAAGGAAAGCATCAAATTAGAATGTGGCTCTGTTTACAAAGCTAAAGGAGAGCATCAAAATAGAATGTGGCTCTGTTTACAAAGCTAAAGGAGAGCATCAAATTAGAATCAAAGCGAAAGTTACATGATTTATAAAAAAATAAGTTTTTTCTTTCTATAAAATCTGTATAATGGCAAGGAAATTGATTAAAATTTTTTTATTAAATGAGGTAAGTCTTTCAACTGTATTAAAAGAAGTGAAAAAGTGTCCTAAAGACACAAGAATGACATAAATAAAACTGGGGCCTCATGATAGAATTCTAAAAGATACATCAAACATGTTATATTAGGGACTACACATAGTTACATACATTTTCTGTTTCTAGCTGTCTGATAGTCTCCTTTATGTCATTTAGATTGGAGACTTTGGTGTCCATTGTTGAAGGTCCTATTCCACTCTGTTGTTGTAACTCTAGTATCCTGGCCCTGTACTGGGTTACCAAATTCTGCAAAGTCAAATTTAAAAGGTCTGTTTAGCTTTTTGATATTTATAAAAGTTAAATAAAAACATAAATTTATATATTATATCAGAAGATACAATCAAATGTCAATTTACTTTAGTCCATATTTTCTTACAACTGTCCAGGTCAGAGTTAATTATGTGAAGATCTAAATTAATAAACTGCAACCACAGAGATATGTCTCACTGGAGTGACCTTATAACAAACCATAACAATTGTTGACACCACTGTTGCTGGAAACACTGCACAGCATGCCCAATTCTCACTTTAGCAAATTTCGTCACAGGCCAGACAAAAAAAAAATGGCTGTTGTGGAAAACATATAATTCTGTAAGCAGAACTAACTCAAGTGATTTTAAGGTAAATCCACCAGAAATCAAACTGTATTCATTTGACCAATTTTTATTTTTACAATGTATTTTAACAAGAGTAACATGGCGGGTATAACTATTGTGGAGCAAGACTATTGACCCTTCCTAAGCTGAGTTCCCACCTTCCCCCCTCCCCCCAAGTTTTTGGTGTGGTGTGTAGTAACATTAGGAATGTACTCCTATAATATCATTAATTTATCTAAAAGATTTTCAAAAATCTTTATAAGTAAAACAGTTCTCAGAGATGGAATAAGAACAACATCTGGACAAACATATAAAATCCATATATATACAGGCAATATACATGATTAATCACTAACTTCTCATAAAGAAACATGAATTACATGTATTAAGTTGTTCAACACTTTTTGTATACCAAAAATTGAATTAAAAATTTACCTGTGCGTATAAATCATTTATAATCGGAAAATTTTTAACTTGTCCAACCCTAGTGGCAAATGTCAGTATAGGAGACAAAGTATTTGGATCTGATTGAGGTTTCAGGCACAACAAAGCTGTAGTTTTACAATTTCCACCCAATTCTTCCTTCAGTAAATGAGTTAACTTGGAATCTCTGTAAATATAAGGTGTAAAAAAGATTAAATTTTTTTTTAATCATATATTCATCCATTTATTAAAAGTTCCTTTCATCATGTTTATTCTTTTCAATATTGGACTGTGTTTTCTGGTGTAGAATTTTGAGTTTGTTTCATGATCAGATTTCTACATGTAGCAATTTGCCTTGTGAAAACTTTTTATGTGATATTTCCTTTGTTTAGAAATTGAGTTATACATGTACCTGTAATATGACCTAGGATTTAAAGTACCAGAGTTCTATCCAAATAATTTGGGATTCAACACCTGATATTTCTTAAAGCAGCTCTTCATCAAATTAGAATAGAAGCAATTTCTGTGTAAAAAAATCTGTGGTTGAAAATTAACTTGAAATGAACTAATGGATATCATAGAATGAAATCACTGTTATTTGACAACAAATACAATTAGAACTTACCGATAACTGATTACTCTATCAGGAAATGGGTTACTGGCTAAGGAAGTTATTACAGAATTGAATGCTATAAGTCCTTTACTTAAAGTGGAAGTCTCTCTCTGCCTAAGGTATGATGGATTATCAGATAACTTCTCTAGTCCAGGGATTTCTACTATAGTAAACCGAGATTTGCTGCTGTTCCTATCATTTCCAACTTCCTATAAGAAATAACACATGTATTTTAATAAATTTACTTTACATTTCTATTCTCATGTTTCATTTAATTCTTTTGATAAGGTACATGTTTCAAGTAATAAGCTGAAAAGTAGTATGTTCTCGTTTTTGGAGATCTTGCTAAACAAAAGCAAAAAGGAAATAACAAATTAATATATAAAAATATAATGATTATTTCACTAATGATTTTTTGTAAAAGAAGAACACTGCTTATATTAAATGAGATCTCAAATTTGTAATTTTTTAATCATGACCCTGTTGTGAATTTTTAAGTGATTACATATTTGTACATCTAAATTCTAATAAAAGCAACAAAATGAAAACTATTTGAGGTTTTCATTGTGGAATTGTTCAAATTACTAGAACTTCACAACATTTGAATTGAATGATATACATGTACATGTGTATTATTCTAACTTTTAAAGCATAATGAAAAAGATTTATTTTTTGTAAATTAATATATATATATATATTTATGTTGGAACAAAATGGCTTAATCAACTTTTCAAAAAGAAAAAAAAGAAATAATAGAAATATGCAACCATAACAAGCAGAATAAAATCTAAAATTACCTCTAAATCACGATCAACTTCTGTAATAATATCCTACCACATATAAATTGTAAAGAGTTTATGAACAATTCATATAAAGTAATCCAGCGCAATGAAATATTAGAGTCAAACCTTTTATCTATTGAAATTAAATCAAATGGTTACTGAATGATTCTATCCATCACAAAAAAACACAACTAAAAATACATTGTACTATCACAAAAGGTCCAATTTTTAATTTTAGGACAAAAATATTATCATTACCTTTTATTTGACAGGTAAAAATCATCAAAAGGTTCTGATAGTTTGTAAACAAAATTTGATTCGGACAGACAGTATCAATGTATAAGATAAGGTGTAATATTTACCTATAGAATATTTATGTAACTCAGGTGAAACCGGTGGACATTTTATTAAAAGAATTCCTTTGATAATGAGAAAAATGAATGATGAAGAATTACAAAGAGATTTCAAAGGGTTTCTTAACTAGTATTCATTCTATATAGTTTACTTTCCCAAAATTTAAATAAGCATGCATGTTTAAATGACATCCATTTCTAAGTGAAAACCAATGATGTGTAAAAGCATTCAATATCCCCAGTCAATAGTAATAGAAATCTATACCTAATAAATTTTATTGATTTTTCATGCTGTATGTATATAGAAATACAAACAGAAAGTTTCTAAGGGAGATAAGTTACAAGCATTTAGATATTCTATGTTATCTCAATCTAATATATTGACTTATTCAATATTCTATCTTTGGTCTGCTTTTTCCCATTTAGTGATTTTTCAAATTGATTAAAACAAATTAAAAAAAAAAACATAAACAATTACCCCCTCCACCAAAAAATTAAAACCCCAAAAATCAAAGCACCCCCTTTCCAAACTTCAATATAATTCAATCCTACAAGCATGTTTCTCATTTTTTATAAAATTAACAAAATTATAATTTTTCTTATTGTAAGAATTAAAACTACTGTATTTAATTTTTTTTTCACAGAATTTAGTTTGATTATAATATTTTTTAAATTCATTGATATTTTCCACTTGTATCACATGTTTTGGAAATAATTCCCGTACAAGATTTCAACGAGACTGAAACATCAAAAGAATACATTCTAAATACCCTTTTCTTTTTTTGGTGAGAAGTGACTTAGTTGTTGGCAGGTATCCCCTGAACAGTTTCTATTGCAAAATTACCGGGGTAAGTAGTTTAGTATTTTAAATACTCATGGACCAATTTACCAATACTTGCATGTTTCCTCCTGGATAGCTTGAATCTTTATGTAAAGAATTTTAGTACAGAATGTATGTGTAAGGCAATAAGTATGCAATATAATTCTAATGTAAGCTTTTGTCACTGCAAATTGTATAACTTAATATGTATAGTTGTCCTTCTCTATTAATTTCATCTGTTTGAGCATTACTTCAATGGCTACGTAATTTAGGTTCTTTTCATTAAAGAAAAGGAAACTTAAGATATTGATATTCAATCATTTAATGTTATTATAATAATTTATTACACATTATTATTGAACATCTGTCGGGAGTGGCTCACATTATAAGTTATATGGTTCACTACTGACCCCCTACGGATCCATAGAGGGTTAGTAAAATCCATAGAGGGTGAGGCCGAAGGCTGAATCTCCTATGGATTTTACTCACCCTCTATGGTCCATAGGGGGTCAGTAGTGAACCATATAACGAATTAATCACACACAGGACTTTTCCTGCCGATTTTTGAAGAAAAATAAACAATGAATTACAACAACATCAATAGATGACGTCACCGTTAACAGTAGACGTGACGTCAGGAACCCCCTATGATTTTTACTAACCCCCTATGATTTTTACTAACCCCCTACGGATTCATAGGGGGTCACCACGTGGCGGCGTTTAACCAATCACAACGTCATAATTTATCCGCGGTGCGATAAATTACCTTAAAGGTGATCACTGCAAACCTTTCTTATAATAAGTCTTAAAGACTAGAGCATCGATATTTGAAGTATATATGAAGAAAGAACTATCAAGACAATTTTAAATAGTATAAAAAATGTATTGCATTGTTTATTTCAAAATTTTCCTCCAAAATATGGAGTATAGGTAAATAAACTGTTGACACAGTGATATGTCTCACCTGCATATAATTTTAATACTGTAAATTCAGAAATTATTGCGAGGTTTTTATTATTGCGACAAATGCCACAGAGTTGTAAACGCAATAATTTAAACTCGCATTTTGAAATATTTTATATGAACTAAACAGGATTTTTCTCACAATCGTAAAAATTAAAATCGCATTTAAGTCTAAAATGACAAAATCGCAATAATAAATGCACGCAATAATTTCTGAATTTACAGTAGTATAATGCAAAAGTTGAAATAAAATGGCAATACTTTAACATTTAAACTAAGCAACATTCAAAGTCAATAAACCAGGACTAAAGGTGCAGGGCCAAATAATATCTTTGGAAATGAGAACTGCCAATGCTAAAACAACTGCATATCAAATATGTATCAAAAGTTTCACAGTCAATGGACCATGACATGAGAAGGTGGGGCCATATCATCTCCATGGAAATGAGATGTGCAAACACTTGTACAGTTGCATAAAAAATATCAATGACTTACCATTAATGATTTATCTTAAACTGATCTAATCAAAAACTTTAACAAGTAAACTATGGAAAAGATTAAAAGTCAAATTCAAAGGCTAATACAACTGCATATTAAATATTATTAATGTATGTACATGCTAGTGTTTCCCCTTTAACTGACCTCATCACAAACTTATACACTGTTGACCCTGCAGCCTCCATAATAGAGACGAAACAAAAACTATATGATCTTTTGGTAGAATTATATTAGACTATGGTTTTAAAACCATAACAATTAAACAAAACAGGTCCTTTTGAAACCTTGCCTTACACAACTAATGTTTTGTCTGTAATACTCCAAGGAAATTTCTAATGTTCATCTTTTTTATCTTTTACCGGGTAATCCAAAACCTTATAAATGGTTTTGATCAAAAGAAAGGCCTGTATCATAAATTAAGTGGAAGCTGGATTGGTAGTAGTAGGTTTAATCTCTAATTCATTTGGGACATGTTCTGATGATATCAAGCAAAACTTAATATGATAGGGAATTTTGTATCCATAAGATAAAAGCAAAAATTGAAGAACTATTCTGGTTACAACAGAACAGGGATGGGCACGATTACTGACAAATGTAATCGATTAATAATCGATTACATGAAGGATTTTTGTGCAATCGATTAATAATCGATTACTCTAAATTTTGTATGTAATCGATTGCAAATTACTTTATCAAAAGTAATTACATTACTTTTCGATTATTATCAATTACATGTTATAAAATATTGAAGAAAGTTTAAACACAACTTATTTAGAGTGGTAATTTAGAACTTTACAAAAACAGCTTTTAAAGCATTGTTTTCAAATGTTATGTTGACAGTTGTTTTCTAGATGAAAGCTCTTACAGAGGATCTAAACTATTCAAATATTCTTGAGTGAGTGATGATAAACATGAGAACATTCTTGAAATGAAATCAACAATTGTATCAATTGCTTCCTTATATTGTAGGTCATTTTCTCCATAGTTTGCAAATTTTTGCTGTCATACTGACTTAATTTTGATATTTACTCTTATTTAACAGGATGGTATATTTGAATATAATGAGTATGAGAGGTTTCCTATGAAAAAAAAATATATAAAAAAGAAGAAGAGTTAATTTAACTAATTTTAAAAGATGGAAATTTATAATTTATAGTTACATGAATGAATTTATCCTTTTGTTTGGATAAATCCCCTAATTACAGGTTATACAATTGCCAATGGAGAACAATTTATAACCTAAGGGCAACAACATGTATTAAATCTCTCATTTAATTAAACATAATTGAAATCAAAACATAGTCTGTATCTCATTGATTAGAGGTCTTTGCTCATCTGATTAGTAATTATAAAAACAAGAAGGTTTTTGAGAATTCTTTGTTCTCTTTTCAAAATCATAAAAAATTTACATTTTAGTGACACAATGGGATACATGTATCTATTACTGAACAAAAATTTCAATGCATTGGTTCATTGTAAAAATGTTTTGTATTCTTTCCTAATTTTGATGTCATAACACTATGACGAATCAACAGTTTATCTACTCTAAGCTAAAGTTCTAAATATAATTGAAAATTAAGCTTTAAAAAATGTTATTACATATATAAAAGTATTCTTCTTTAGTATAGTACAGAACTTAACTTAGGACTACAAGTACATTTATGTATTTTCCAATTTTGAATCTATTTTCTTATTTTTAACATTTTCATGTTTAATAAAAAATGTCTCAAATTATTGACAAGCATTGGAAGTCATTTATTTCAAAAGCTGGAAATAAAGTAAAATTTGTTAGCCTAGGAGATTTGGTTTATCAAAATGCAGCTTGAGACAACAGATCTAAATAAGGTATTTGATAAACTCTCAAGTAATATTGATGCATTCTATTTTATCAGTACTTTAAACTGATGAATACATGCAGTTGTCTACTTTCATTAAAACTAGGTTTTATTTCAAACTATATTACTAAAGTAATCGAAATGTAATCGAAAAGTAATCGATGATTACATCATAATTTTTGCTGTAATCAATTAAATTACGATTACATGTAATCGAAAATGTTGTCGATTACAGATTACTGTCGATTACTTGAAAAAATGTAATCAATTACAATCGATTACGATTACAGATTACGATTACCCCATCCCTGCAACAGAAGTAGAAAAATGTCACATGACTCCTGAATCCCAAACATTAACAATACCAAAATAGTAGTAGAATTCTGGAGAAGTCTATATATATATAGTAGCAACATGATAAAAGAAAATCAAAAGTATGTTCTGGGACATATCTTGATCTATATAAATTAAAGTGAAAGAAATTGTAAAAGAAAAACCTTATTTCCTCAATCCCTTAAGATCTTACTGACATCACACTCACCATAGAGAGGTCTATGTAAATAATAGTAGCAGAATTGGCTGATGCAGGTCCAAAGTCATTCATCTCCTGAGTCCTTCTAGACATACCCTGACGGTACTTAGCATTGCCATCATTGGAATCCCTTAGTGGGACTTCACTTCCATTCTGAAACAATTTATACAGTTATCCTTAATTAAAACAATAAATTTGTAAGCATGGTAATATTTACAAACATTTAATAAGACTTTTAATGATTACATATATACCGAATTCTACTCATCAGTGCTTTAGTGGTAAGCATAAAGTAAACTTATAAATGTTTTAAGAACATTGAAATGGGGGAAAAAGGCAAAATGTTTTCAATTAAATTCTCATTAAACTAATAAAGGAATAAATTTACAAGTTAGAGTTATCTACCTTGACATACACTCCTCTATTTGCTGATTCTGCAAGATCACAATAAGAAGCACCTCCACCTGGAACTTGTAATAAATCCTTTACAAGTTCATTATAGACCTCATACATCTGTAGGGTTACTGTAGGGTTTTGTCTTCTCACTCTGGTGTCCATCATATACTGATCTAAATTCAAACATGAAGGCATGAGCTATAAGTCATCCTGAATTTGCATGAAACATTTGGTCCTGGGAGTTAGACAAGCAACAATAAATCACTAGCTATAAGCATTTCTGAGTAAAATAAGAAAAAATCTACTTCTATACATAATATTAATGTCTCCTCGGAGACGTTATTAAGAATTGAACGATGGACAATCTGCGGGCTGAATGCTTCTTACTACCTGATTGGAAGATATATTACTGCGACGTGAATAATTAAAGTTCGTTGATTGGTTGGGACAATCCAAACCTAGTAAATGTCTTTCAATCCCGTAGAGTATCGGATTTGTACTCTCTATTTTAGCAATTAGATTTTGCATGGTCACAAATCATGCATATCGATACACAGGTAACTATAAATAGACGAATCTTATAGAATCTCCTGACACCAGTCGCTCACTGTTACGTACATTTTATACACGAAAAACATAAGAAAACTTGAACAATGTTACATGGTTATGATATTTCATGATGAGAGAATAAATTGTTAGACAAACATGTAAAGCATTTACAACCATGATTTGAAGGATTAGTACAATAAGGACCATAAATATATAATTATTTGACACACAACATTAAACGATATACTGCGGCTTCATAAGGTGTGTGGTAAACTTTGTTGATATGCATGGCTATTCTGAATGAATTAATCTACAAAGCGAGAACACTTTCCACTTTTATCAGCTAAGAGACGGATAGCTTTTTTCGAAAAGTTATTACTTGACATATATTGAAGAACTTGATATGCTCTTCAAAAATTTATAATCCTAAAATCAAAATGTTGCAAATTGTTCTCTAGAAAACAACCAGATTGTGACCTAATTACAGTCATGATATTAATTGGACATAAATTATTTTACTTCAAACATCAGACTTGAAAATACCAACATATCTGCCTGTTTGTAATGAGAAACTACTCAATAGGTCACTGTCAGTCTTTGGTCAATAACCCAGATTGGTCATTAGTACTAATTTGATGAGGAGAAAGAACTGGCACTATAAAGTTCAAATAAGCCATATATAGAGGATCATTATCACTGTTGTAGCTGAAAGCTCATGTGACCTTATACTCTGTACATGAACTAATGATCTGTATTTGATCATGACCATAACTTACCATCCTGTAGTTTGGTGAAGAGGTTACTGTGATCATCTATATCTAAGCATGACCATTTCTGACTGTCCTGTAGTTTGGAAGGAGGTAAAATACATTTTAGCCAAATAACGACAAAATATCTTGATGTCTGGAAATTTCTATTTAAGCATGACTGTGACTTACCATCCTAAAGTTTGGGGAAGAGGTTATTGTTATCTAAATTTAAGCATAACCATGACTTACCATCCTGAAGTTTGGAGAAGAGGTAATCTAAGATCATAGGTACAATGCCAGTCTTTGATGATCCTTCTCCTGTTAAAGTGTAGGATTTTCCTGATTCTGTTTCTCCTATCACCATCAGACAAACATTAAATCGTGACATATGCATGTGCAGTAATGGTTCTTCTATAGTATTCTTAAAAATACCATAATTATCTGTGTCCTTTCTATGAAGTGTAGAGAAGCTAAAAAGGACATTTTAATATTGATTGAAATGTACATAATATTTGTAGCAACCATAACTTTATGGTACTATTTAATACATGTACATGTAGTGCTTTAAAAAAATAATATGATAGTAAGTACAGTAAACAAGTCTTTTTGTTACAATTTCAAGTCCTACAGCTAAGAAAGTAAAAATTCTATATAAATCCATCCATACATTTGTATATATACAGATTCAAAATAAAGCATCCCCCAAAAATAAAAGGTTTGAAGATGTGAAAGACTAAAAATTTAGGTTGTGTTAACCTTGTCCTGCAAGGATTGTTGATATACATGATATACAGCCTTGATCCTAAATACAGTTTAGAGACTACAAGAAGTTTCCTAATTCCAGAGATTAGCTAGTTGACTGTGATGTCATAATCAAGACATGTTCCTTCAACTTTTCATTACAATTTTTGAACTAATGATACATAAACTACTACTATTCATGTATAGACAATTAAAGATAATTTTCCTTTTATGCAAGATCCCCTGATTTTAAGGAGTATAATATTAATGCTATTAACAGTGTTAAGTGTAAGAATATACACTGATTAAATTGCGAAATGAATTTTAAATCATGTGTCATCTTGATATACAAGCTCTATAAAACTGTCAGAATATCTGAAGAAGAAACTCACTTTATAAATGGTCCTTTACTTTGTGAAGCTACCCTGTGGCCCTCTATAACAAGGTTTTCAGGTCCTTCGGCTCTTATTGGTGGCCTAATACGACCAATTACTTCCACATTCATCTTTGCTTTTCTTATCCTGAAATAGTTCAAAACAAGCTTAGAACTGATGAGAAAATAAAATCTAACATAAAACAGAGAAAATTAATGTCATCTATATTTGAATAAAACATGAGAGTATAAAATGTAAGAAAAGAGTGATGAAAAACCAGTATTTAAATTATTTTGAAAACTGCTTAAATAAAATGTTCGCAGTCAACAAACATGTCACACATGTATTAATGTATGATCCTCTACAATACATTTTTTTTATAGCTGTTCATGTACACACATTTATCCTGCAATTGGGTGTTTTATCATACAGATACAGCCCTACAGATATCGCTAGGCTGTATCTGTATACTATACAGATATCGCTTTAAAGCTCCGTCCACTGACGGACTACATTTGTGTATTGTCGTATTGTCAAATAAACACAATGAATAAATTCTAAAAGAGATGCGAAAGATACCAAAGGGATATTCAAACTCATCAGTTGAAAACAAACTGACAATACCATGGAAAAAAAGGAAAAACTAGGAAAAGGCAAACAACAGTATATATACAAAACACAACATAGAAACAGAAGACTGAGCAACAGGAACCCACCAAAAACTACGGGTGATCTCAGGTGCTAAGGAAGGGTAAACAGATCCTGCTCTATTTGTGGCACCTGTTGTGCTGCTGATGTAAGTACAAACCCAGTGATAAGTCTAATTCGGAAGGTCACATTGAGGAAAAGAGGATGGGATTGTGGTAATATCAACAATTGGAACATACACAAACGTATCCGTGGTCATTAGCATTCTGTGAAACAGTTATTTCATAATGGTCAACCTACTCGTGATGTAAGGAAATCATGATAGGAAATGTAAGCTCTGGAATATCTTATCAACTGGGAGGTATATTCTCCATATGCATGTTCTGCTGGAATGTTGCTACATAGAAAAGGAAATTTCACAACTGGATGCTGAAATCATCTCTTTTGTCATAATGTTTTGTTCTTAACCGACCAAGTATATTGCTATTGATTTTTAATGACAGATATTGGTATCTCTTTCTCAATAACCTGTGAACTTCCAGGGGCTTTCACCCCTACCAGGAGGTCCTCTGCCCTGGTTAAGCTTAGGGGACCTCGAACTCCTATATGAGGTTCGGTGGTACAATTAAAAATGGCCTAGCTACGCCACTAATCTTTTATTAAAAAATCACTTTCTCCAAATTAATCCTCCACCAATAAAAGGTAAAAGTTTATGTACAACACACTGTATCCACTAGGTTAATGTTATTAAGGTCTCTTTAGTGGGATATAGTTATTTACACTTTAACCTTAAGCAGGGATATAATTTTAAGTGTAAAAAAAAAAACCAAACAAATAAAGAAAAGTCTTATATCACTAATTAGTATACTGAAATTGTTTATAACCAGTTTTGGATACGAATTTTCAAAAATGCAAAACACTTAATTTGGGATTTCAGCTTTTGATAACCTCAATACTAGATTCTTTTGGTCTTATCCAGAAACTGTATAATAATCTGAAATTTCAGAGAAGCATTTCAACTAATTGTTTGTACTTTGCAATATTTTCTCCAAATTAATATCAATATGCAAAATTTAATAAATAATTATATCCCTGCTTCCGGTGTAAACATAAACACTGAGGACCAACTTATTCCATTTTTACTTTTCAAGATGATGTTTTACCAAGTATGTGTTTTTATACTAACTGTATCATTACATCAGCAAACAGAGCAGCACATGTGTAACAATTTTAAATTAGTGCCACATTTTAACAGTATTTCTGACATATTACACTGTCAAAACTTGACAGGCAAGTACAACGTGACCCTAGCAAACGACCTAGGTATTGAATTTCACTTCATGATTTTTTACCACATAAAACACAGTAGACGATGCCCACCATCCATCACAGTTGAGTTTAAGCAACGACATCACAGACTTCTTATACTTCTTGTCATAAGCGGTGATATTTCACTCAACCCAGGACCAGCTAAACATCCATGCAGTCACTGCTATAAAGCAGTTGCGAAAAACCACCGTGCAGTATTATGCGAGGCTTGCAACTACTGGTGGCACATTAAATGTGCCAATATTTCACCTACCAGTTACACTGATCTATGTAATTCTGAGGATCCATGGATATGCAATGACTGCAATTCATTTAAGTTTACCAACTTATTTTTTGATATTTCCTTACAAAACACTACATTTATGAACACTAGCAACTTATCGTCATCAACAGAAGGTTCAGAGAGTGACATCTTTACTGAACTTAGAGAAGCTAGAAAGAAACATATGAACAACTTTCATATATGCCATTTAAATATTAACAGTATGCGTTACAAATTTGATGAACTTAAACCGATTTTACTTGATAAAACTGTTGACTGTCTAATAATTTCTGAAACCAAATTAGACTCTTCTTTTAAAGACTCCTTATTTGAAGTTGATGGGTACAAACTACAGCGAAGAGACCGTACTGACCATGGAGGAGGTATAGCTACTTTCATGCGAGCTGACATACCAGCCAGAAGAAGACTTGACATTGAATGCAAGACTCTTGAAAACATTGTATACGAGATTACTCTTGATAAAACTAAATGGTTAATTTATGCTATTTATCGTCCACCATCAATGGCAAATAATATTTTTTATGACTCCATAAATATCCTATTAGATAAAGGTTCCCAATTTATAGAAAATTATATGGTTATTGGTGATCTTAACTACGATTTTATGGTTAAAAACAAATCACAAGTGTTGGAGGATATATGTGACATTTTTGATCTGTCAAATATAGTGAAAAAACCTACATGCTATATGAAAGGGTATGAACCATCACTTGTAGATGTTATTCTTACAAATAGAACAACTCTTTGTTTCAAAACACTAAATTTTAAGACTGGTGTTAGTGATTGTCATCATATGATATCTACTTTTATAAAAGATCATACACCTAATTGTGTAAACAGCAAGACACAATGTAGAAGTTTTAAAACTTTTAATGTTGATAATTATATTAATGATCTTGATAATACTAATTTTTTACATGATTCAGATGAATGTATAGATGATATAAACTTGGTATATAATGATTTTGAAACTAAAGTCTCTGATGTGATAAATTGTCAAGCACCAATGAAATACAGATACCCTCGAAAAAACTCGGTACGATTTATGAACAGAGAACTAAGAAAAGCTATTCTTCACAAACAAATGCTGAGAACAAAATTTGAAAAATACAAAACAAACAAAACTTGGGAAGCATATAGAAAACAAAGAAATATGGTTACAAAATTAAAAAGAAAATCAGTGAACATTTATTTTCAAGAAAGATGTGCTGGAGGACAAAAATCAAAACACTTTTACAGCACAGTCAAACCATTTTTATCTAAAAAGTCTACCTCCAGCCAACAAAAAATTGTACTTGTGGATGAAAATAAAAGTTTAAACACTAAAGATGTTTGTGACAACTTTAATACTTTTTTTGTTAATGTTGCCAATGACATAGGCAAAGGTACTATTTTTGAAGAAAAAACACATCCTAGTATTTTAAAAATTAAATCTAACCTACAACATCATAAACTTTTTGACTTTAAACATATACATGTTGACACTGTAGACAAACTGGTGAAAAAGATCAATATAAAAAAAGCTACTGGAGTAGATCAGATATCATCGAAACTATTACGAGCTGGTGCACCAGTACTGAACAAACACATAACAACACTAATGAATAACACTATAGAATCCAGTGAGTTTCCAAACAGACTTAAAGAAGCTCAGGTTGTACCATTACACAAAAAAAAAAAACGATCCACTGGATAAAAAGAACTATAGACCTGTGAGCATTTTTAAAAAGAACTATAGACCTGTGAGCATTTTACCAACAATTTCAAAAGTATATGAAATGGTTATGTCTGACCAGTTGACTGAATTTTTTGAAAATATATTTCATGCTTTTTTATGTGCATTCAGAAAAGGTCATGGATGTTAGACAACTTTGCTTAGACTCCTTGAAGATTGGAAAACAGCTTTGGATAAAAATATGTATGTGGCAGCTATACTTATGGATCTTTTGAAAGCTTTTGACTGTCTACCACATGATATTCTTTCAAGTAAATTATCTGCCTACGGTCTTTCTTCTAAATCAGTGAAATTACTTCAAAATTATCTTACAGATCGTAGTCAACAAATCAAACTTCAGGGAGTACTCAGCAGTTGGGCTGACATCCAGAAAGGGGTACCCCAAGGCTCAATCCTGGGACCCCTATTATTTAATATTTTTATAAATGACATATTTTATTTTATTGAACATAATTATGCTGATGATAATACTCTGTCATATGCTGACAACAATTTTGAAAATTTATTGTGTACACTTGAAAGAGAAAGTGCTGTTTTAATTGACTGGTTTAGATTTAATTGTATGCAGGCAAATCCTGATAAATTCCAAGCCATTGCAGTTGGAAATAAAACATTTGCAAAAAAGCTTGTTTTTAATATACAGTCAGCAAAAATATCCTGTGATGAGATTGTCAAACTTTTAGGTATTGATATTGACTATCAACTTAATTTTAATCACCACATTAAAAATATTTGTCGTAAAGCATCTCAACAACTGAATGTTTTAAAGCGCATTGGCTGCTACCTTACTAAATTAAATAAATTGACCATTTTCCACACATTTATTTTATCTAATTTTAATTTTTGTCCTTTGGCATGGCATTTTTGCAACAAAAATAACACCACTAAATTAGAAAAAATTCAGGAAAGGGCTTTAAGATTCATATATGAAGACTATGCTAGTTCATATGATGAACTACTTTTACGAGCAAATGTTCCATCACTGAAAATAAGACGTATGAGTAACATGGCTATTGAATGTTTTAAAATTTTATATAAATTTTCACCACCATGTTTACATGATTTAGTTGTATTGAAAGATTGTAAATATAATTTTAGATATTCTAATATTGTAGATATACCTAGGGTCCGAACATCAACCTATGGTAAGAACTCTTTTAAATACACAGCTGCTGTTTTATGGAATGATCTACCTGATGATTTTAGAAAAATTGCTAATTTTAGTGTTCAAAAATATTTTAAAGTTATGGAATGGAAATGACTGTAAGTGCACAGTTTGTGCAGATTTTTAGTTAATATATTATGCTAAAATTATTTACCATTTAGATCATACCCCCTTTTTTTCTTTAAAACATTTTATGCTATGCATTTTACCAGCTTTTATACCTAGTTTACAATTATATGCTTTTAGCTTTAATACCTAGCTTATGCTTATATTCTGCTTATTACCATCATGCTTTTTAGTGCTTCATTTTGTGCTGTGTAATTTATTGCATGTGTATGTGTTGTATTTTTTATATTGTATTGTTATAAATGTCTTGTATGTCGGTTAAAAGCTCATTAGAGCTTATGTTGTCTCTGTTTGTTTACCTTGCCGACTCTAATTAAAGCTTATTTATTATTTATTATTATAAGTATATGCATTTGTGTAAAAATTGTTCCCACTGGCACTGGCACCTGTTGAAAAGTTGACTGAAGTAAACTATCTTTTAAATATTAATGGATCACTTTAATCGTATCTTCGATTATTTGATTACAAAATATGTAATTGGCATAAGATATAAACTCTTACGATCACTTCATTTATCAATAACTTAGATAGACTGAACAGCAACAAAAATATTTCCTTTTCGACACTGTTTTTGTTTACCTTGGATTCCTACCTCCAACTGTCGAGAGTTACCTTGTCAAGTACAACACGTTGCAACTGAGTGTTAAAACTGGTTAAGTTAACCTCACCTGTAGTGGGTTAGTGAACCAATATTCTCATCCATTCACGTTTGTAATTTATAAACTTCAGTGATAATTCAGTTTCTGTATTAAAAAAAAGTGATTTTTTTTAAATGTATTTTGACAATTTGGTATTGGGGATTTTACATCTGAATTATAAGGATGATGGAATTGTCTCTCTTTGTACAGCCTAAATATTCACTTGCCAACAATTTAATTTTCTCTCTTTGTACAGCCTAAATATTTACTTGCCAACAATTTAATTTTATGATTAAGTTAAACAAAAAATTCTCATACACTTATTATTCTAATGATTCCTTAATTTCTTATTAGTTTACAGTTTAGTTTGTTATTATGTTATGAATAATTCATTGTTATCTGTATCACGATGTATTCCCCAAACATCAACATACTTAAAACTTACACATCTGTACCAAAAAAGTATAAGCCAGTTCTATCTATCGGTCCAGAATGAGGTATTAGCAAATTATACCTGAGCATTGACATATATAGGTTTTTTTTCTGATTTAACATCACAAAAAGATAGTAGAAACTGGGACCATACTGCACGGGGAAATGAATGGGGTTGATTTGAGATAATATGAACATATGAACATCAGATTTTATAAAGAGTTTTGCAATATGTAAAATAAATTAAGGAAATACGAAAAAATCTTTGGAGCTAGACTAAGGTAACACAATACCGAATGGCATATCTCCCGATTTCTAAACTTTTTGGCACACTTATCCTTTCAATCGAGTTACATCGGAATATGTAATAAAAAATGGGGGTCACCATTTTTGTTTTCTTGTAATTTTTATAGGAAAACGTCAATTTTTTGCGACAAATTTACATAGATATATAGGGAAAATGAATTTTTTTCGACTTATCTTTTTAGATTTTTCAATGGATGGCTATGTTCTTATATACGGAGAAAGACTAAAAACTAACATAATATCCAGGATTGTATACTGAATCCATGCATGTATTGAAACTCATATGTCACCATCCTTGTTTTCTAGATAAATGACTTCAAAGTTGATCGATACGCTTAGAATTTGACCGAAAACGTGTGACGATATTGAATACAGAAGAACGTTATTCTTACTCAGAGGTCTTGAAAAAAATATATGTCGGGATCTAAATGGTGTTTATTTTATTTAAATTTCCCCTATCGGGTTTCGAAAATTTCCTAGTAATTCAATATAAATTTCTACTGATTTAATTCTATTTCGTCCTATACAGGGAAATTTCACTCACATGAATTAAGATTCACTTGAATCTCGTGTGATTTTCACCTCAAACTAGCCTTTACGGGAAACTCGCGTGAACTGATCGAGTTTCACGTGAATCTTATGATAATTTCATTTATATTTTGTACACGTTAAATTCGCGTGAATTTTCAAAATACAGTTATTCAAATAATATCTAAATCAGTTTCAAATTTGATTAAAACTATGAAAAATACCATTTTTTTTGTAAAATTCACGTGAAAATCACATGAAAAATTTCACGTGATATTCATTCATCTTCAACTTCACCCTACCATACTGGACCGTGAATACTGATGCCACCACTAAATCCACGCATGAATAAAATACTTCAAAAATTTGATTAAGTAAACAGTGATGTTGAAGTACAATTTGCATTTTGTCGCTGGAGCAAAATATTTATTAGCGTATATGATGGTGTTTTATTTTATAAGGAATTTGGTGACAATATATCTTTATGAATAAGCAGTTCATAGTGGAATGGTAATTGGGAGATCTCAAATGTATAGCAATGTAAGCAAGCTAACATCTACGTCATTTGGTCTTTGATGGAAAGTTGTCTCATTGGAAATCTTACCACATCTCCTTATTTCATAATGGTTTGAGTGTTCTTCTGAAATACAAGAAGTTTAAAGACTTAACAAATATGTACTAGTAGACTGAAACATGTTACTGTGATAATTAAAATCTGGCTATTGTAGTGAACATATGATGTTATAATTTGATAGATTTGATACTTGCTTTACTAAATATACTTCTTAACTTTCCAATTCAAGGGACCAACGAATCTTTTCTAAAACTACAAATTAAGTAAAAAGATACTCGTCCACAATGCATTAGTCATGATTATCTAGATGTCTTTGGTTTTATTGTTTCGTTAATTGTCCAGCTGTTGCTGTCGTATTGTATATCCCACATCTCCATTTATTCAAAAAAAAAGAACTACCAACACTTCTTTTTTACAAACATACTTGTATATTTGTTATAAAAACTCCATATAAGACTGTGAATACCCTCGGGCTTTTCCCGACGCCTATGTGAGCAATATGCCCCTCCCCAAAAGGCAACTTTGTTGATCGTCTTTCAATGTTTTTGTCTCCCCACTTTAGAAAATGTGCGTTTTTCATCATCTATACTTGTATATTATGTCCAACTCAAAACACCAAAAACACACCCATCCCCGAATACACAGGCGTAAATTGATATGAATATAAAATCTATTCAGTTTGTTTCTGCCGTTTGAATACTATAGGTTAATGAATCTATCTCTTTATAATTTGTTTGTAAATTTCGAGAAAATAATTTCAGAATGGAAAGTTATTCGGCCAATTATCCAAGTTCAACTTCTCTTTTTTTTGCCAACAAACTATTTTCTGTATGAGTTTCAACGTCTGCTTGTATGGTGCTTTTTCGCCTAATTCTATCCGTATTCTTTTCCAAATAAATTTCCTTTTTCTATTTTGCTAGCGGCGTTTTTTGGCGACCATTTTAAAAAGAATGGGTTTCTTAACGAAATTGCATTAATAGTGGTACAATTCCTCGTATTTTCACACATCATCCTGCGTTTCTATAAATTGGATTTCTACTTTCAAAACAAAATTTCATCGGGATACGGCGTGCATAATAAATAAGAATTTATTGAAAAAAAAACAACCAAGAATAAAAAAACTCATTACAATCTATTATGCATAAAAACATATATAGATAAATCGTACAAATGCTTACTTATTAATAGAAACAGAATATTTAAAAAGTTTATTTTCAAAGGTAAAGAATGAGTAGAAGAATTGGCGGAAAACGAAGAAGCAATCAATGTCAAATAATGTATTGCATCAAATCTCTCGGCACTCTGCATCTATACTAGGCAAAGTTACAGTTAAAAATGTTTACCAAAAATAAAGGATTTTAATGATGTAATCTTTTCCATTACAGTACAGCATAGGGCCTACATGTATTGTGTTTTCCCATTTTTGTTCTTTCATATGAATCGCATCTATGTACAGTTTTTGTTTTGTAATTGAATATGATAGTATAGAAAGCGACGCTAAAATGAAGGTATTTTTAATATATACTCATATATATTTATTTGCATATTTGAAATAAAGAAACATTTATCTTTCAACTATTTTATAATAGTCCAAGTGAACTTTTTCTACAATTGGTGCTCTATGAACACCCCATACTTCACAACCATACATTAAAATACTACATACATAAGTGTCAAATAAACTAATAGAAGTAGCAGTGTTCAGGTATAAGGATGACGCCTTTTTCCTCATACTAAACATAGCTTTCCTGCCTTGTACAGCACAGTGTTTTTGGGTAATATAAAGTTTAAAATTATAATGAAATAACAAACCCAGATAACAAAAATGATCCGCAATATCTAATGTTTTACCATTATAAATCCATGACTCATTTGGTCTGATTTTCCCACCTTTACGGAAAACTACTATCTTGGGGTTTTTTTTGTGTTCACTGAAAGACCCCATTTCTCAGTATAACCAGATAAAGTATTTAATATATTTTGCAAGCCTTGGATTGATTCTGACATCAATATCATATAATCAGCGTACATTAATAAAAAAAGTGTTATGTCCTGAAACATTAAGTGGACGGAAAATATCCGGAGCTCAGAACAGCATTGAAAATAGTACATATATAGGGCAGTACGAGGTCCCGAAACTCAATGAAAAATTCGTTTAACAAACCATCAGGCCATGACTTTTCCCGTGTTTTAAGTCGTGAATAGCTTAATGGTAATATCCATATCTAGTTCTTCAAAACACATTCATTATCTGGCATTTCTGGTCTTCTGTTGATCTCGTCAGTATTAGATACTAGAGTTTTGAAATAATTAAAAAAAGTCAGTTACTGCTAGCTCACAGTTTACCTTTCTCCTCTTTTTGAATACAGAATAAAATTTCTTAGGATTGTTCTTCCTTAATTTACATAGGGTATCACCTTCTTGTCGCATATATATACGCCTACGTTTACGTTCATAGTCTTTATATGTCTTCCATACACGATTCAATTCAACATGACTATTCTTTTTTTTATTGCAATTACATATAGCTGAGTTTTGCAGAAATTTACATAAAGTTCCTTACACTGTTGATCAAACCAAGGCTTATCAATATGATTATATTGCTTCTAATGATTTCGTTTTATTTCAGTACCACTTTTATGACTTTGTTGAAAAAATGGAGCCATAATGTCAATGAAAAGACGGGTAAAATCGTTCACACATGAATCCATATCATCCTGAGACTCAGCTTCTATATTCTGCAGTGTCTACTTTATATTGTCAGCGTTTATTAAAAGTGCATTACGACACATATCCTTATATTCCTCATTCCATCGAAAGGATTTGGATGCCTCTGCATCCTCCAAATTGGACTGAACACCATTACGTTTAATATAAAAATAAGTCTTGAATTGAATATGTAAGGGTGCATGGTCACTGTATGTAGTAAAATTACAAGTTATTAATTTTGACACTTTGTCGAAATTACTTGATCTAGTTAATAAATAGTCTATTACGCTCATACCTTTCGAACCACTGTATGGTTTATTCCTTGAATGCCAACATCAATTGATCTACCGACAATTTACCTGTAAAATTATGTTGGCGTTCGAGGAATAGGTGTAAGTA